GCGTCTCTTTCTGCTTCTCTGCATCGGGAGGGAAAGGAAAAGACCCCCTCGGCCCTGGGGGGATTGCTGAGAGGACAGAAAGAGAAGGAATACACAGAAAACAAATTAGTACTTTGGAATACAACCCTGCCACATTAATTTTTCTGGAGTTGTTTAAAGGAATATGCCTCCAAACTAAAGAAAGGAAAAATTTAAAAATAGAGCCACTTTTGAGGTCCGTTTTGGTGTAAAGAATCTTCGAGATAATATAAACTACGATACTTAAAATCCTCAAGTTCTCTTGTCCTGAAAAACATCACCTTGGCCCAAGTCCATCTGCATCCTTGGGTGAGCTCTGTTTCAAAGGTAAACAGTGCCCGTGACAGGCTTCAGGACGGGGAGTCCCACAGTGGGACGACACTCCTCTTTCCTTCACTCTCCTCTGCAGCAGGGACAGAGGCTCCTGGCCCTGGTACCTAGTGCCTGCCTGGCCCAGGGCAGTGGCCCCTTAGTGTAGCTGGTCTCTGACACCCTACGATGAAACCTGCATCAGCCCCATGCTGTCAGAAACGCCTCTGAGCTTGCTCCTCCTGGTCAGGTAAAGTTTAAAGTGGATTCTATTCTCAGTCACATTGTCACTCATTTATACTCATAATGGGACAGTGATTAAAAACAGGAAGCATAAATGAAATAGGCATTAACAAGGAAGATAGGGTGTACTGATAATTATGGCCACTTGAGATGCTTATCATCCGATCTATAAACTCCATCCATCTTGTCAAAATGCCTCTAGTTCTTAAAGTACCACTGTTAGAGAAAATTTGGCCATGAGAGTCAATACTGTCTATTTCATATCACTACACGCAGATAGGTTTCAGTAAATTAGATCCCCAGAACTGAAGGCCATTACGTTCACTTGTCATCTGGGGCTGGCAGTGCGCATTTCTAGAGACTGAGACTATAATACAAAGAGGCTCCTGCTGCCGAAGGGTAAGGAAAAGTAATTGCTGGATCAAGTCCAGGCTGGACCTGGTATTAACATCCATTACTGCTGTGGTCTGAATGCCTGTCCCCTCCAAAGCTCATGTGGGAGCCTGACTCCCAATGTGGCAGTGTTGAAAGGTGGGGCCTTTAAGAGGTGATTGGATCGTGAGGACTATGCTCTGATGAATGGATTGATCCGTTCATGGAGTAGTAGGTTGATGGTTTAATGGGTTATCATGGGTGTGGGCTGGTGGCTTTATAAAGAGAGCAAGTGAGCACATTAACAAGCTCTCTCGCCCAGCCCTCGCCTGGGTGATGCCCTGCATCACCACAGGACTCTGTAGAGTTTCCCTCTAGAAGACCCTCACCAGATATGCTCCTGGACCCTGGACTTCCCAGCCTCCAAAACTGCAAGAGATAATTCATTTTCTTATGTTACCCAGTTTCAAGTATTCTGTTATAAGCAACAGAAAATAGACTAATACAATTACTTCGGTTTCTTAAACAAATCTGGTACAAGGAACATTTCCGGCTCTACCTGCCCTGTGTGGCTCACACTCTAGGGCCAGGTCCAGCAGGATTTTCCAGCATCACCAAGCCCCTTAAGTGCATTAAAGGCACAGAGGAGAGGATAAGTGTGTGATCCCAGCAGCTGACATCAGCATCCTCTGGTGCCAGCAAGGCAAAGCAGATTAATGATGATTTTAGGCAACCTTTGCCCATGAACCAGAGACCTCCAGTAAAGCTCTGCAGTGTACAGCAGCCTTTCAGCCATGTGTAGGTGAGGACTTTGAGGAAAGAAGGTGAGACACTCCTGTGAGTTGATGCCAGGAGTCAGAGCTAAAGGTACAATCTCAAAACACAAGTGGAGAGCAGGGATTTCAGCTGAGTCAACAGGAGCAGAGGTGGCCCTGAGAAGAGAAGCCCCCAGGAATTCAGAAGAGTCTTGGGGAAGGCTTTGGTCTTCCAAATTCAGAGAATACATGTTTGGATCAATCTTATCTAGTTAGTAGGGTCTGGGAGACCCTGCAGACATCTGCACTGTATAGGATTTCCATTGAAATCAGCAAAGCACTGGAAACCATGACCCCAGAGTGTGGCTCCGTGACATAAAGTCAGCTGTGCAAGAGCAGTTTAGCCTCAGGGCATGATGTTTCCCAGCCTGTGTGCAGCAGAGACTAGTAGTTGCCCCACAGTATCCGTTCTCCCCTTTTTTAGCAATCAAACTCTGATTTTTACTGGCAAGCAATGTGTTCAGCTAAAAGACTACATTCCCAGCCTTCCTTGTAATGAGGTGTGGTTTTATGATTAAATTCTCATCAATGAAATGCAAAAAAGTATGGTGTGGGACTCCCAAGAAGGTTGTTTAAAGGGACTAACTCAGGGGGAGGAGGGCCTTTCTGCCCTCCCATCCCTCCAATCCCTACCTCTTTGTTTTTGCTTTCTGCTGGCTTTGAACTTGGGTGTGCTGGCTGGGGCTCCAGCAGCCATATTGTACCATGAGGTGACCTTGAGGTTGACAACCATGTGTTGAAGACGGCAGAGCAGAAGTTCCTTACTGACACTGTGGAGGTGCAATACAGACTCCAGCCTTCCTGGCCCCAGATGGCTTTTATGTGAGAGAGAAATACCAGCCTCCTTAATGTTCCTTAGAAATGATGAGCACATTCCATCCTCAGGGCTTTGCACTGCTGGTCCTCTGCCTGGAGCATTGCTCCCTCACTTCCTTCATCTCTGGCAGGAAATCACTAAGAACCTAAAACACTACAGCTTTCTCTGTCCACCCTACTTACAATAGCATCCATATCCCCCAATATTCCAGAACTTATCACTATCTGTCCTACTACATGTCATTTTCTTGTCTGTTTGTTTATTGTCTGTCTTCTTCCACTAGAATGTAAGCTTCATAAGGGCAGGGATTTGGGTTATTCTGTTTACTGCTGCACCTCTTGTCCCTAGAATGGTACCTGACACAGAGAATGGACTCTATAAAGATTCGTTGAATGAATGAATGAATGAATGGCGTGATCTGATGGACAGGCTCTGCATCCTCACTCATCTTCCCAGGCCCTGGCATGTGGCTTATCAGGCCCAAGAAGGGTCACTGGGCACTCTGTCTCCCTGTGGTCACCCAGGAACGCAGCTAGGACCAGGGCTAGTGTCTGTAGAGGGTGAGGACAGAGGAGGTGGGTGGGGCTCACCCTCCTGACTCTGGTGGGCTTGTAAGGAGAGAAAACCTAGCTCCTGACCCCTTTTCTGCACTTATCACAGTTCAGGTGTGCACCCACTACTTGGGAGCTCTGCCCAAGGTTTATGATAGCATGGCCACAGGGCCCTTGAACCAAGTCTACACTCCATGTGTTCCCAGCAGTCAGCCCCAAGAAATACTGGATGTGTGGGATGCTGTGATGGGCAATTTTATGTATTAACTTGGCTAGGCCAAGGTAGCCGAATATTTGGTCGAACATTATTCTAAATGTTCTGTGTAAGTATTTTTAGATGAGATTAACATTTAAATCAGTAACTCTGAGTAAAGCAGATTACGGACCTCTCCAGAGGAAGAAGGAATTTTGCCAGCAGACTGGCTTCAGATTCAAACTGCAGTTCTTCCCTGCATCTCCAGCCTGCCAATCCATCCTGCAGATTGTGGACCTGCCACCCTTCAGAACTGCATGAGCCAATTCATAAAAGTAAATCTCTCCCTATGTACAGATTGTCCCTGACTTAACAAGGGTTCAACTTACAATTTTTTGACTTTATGATGGTATGAAATCATTGCAATTTCAATGTAATATACAGAATTCAACAAGTTACATGAGATATTCAACACTTTATTATAATATAGGCTTTGTTCTAGATGATTTAGCCCATCTGCAGGCTAATGTAAGTGTTCTGAGCATGTTTAAGGAAGGCTAGGCTAAGCGATGAGGTTCAGTAGGTTAGCTATATTAAATGCATTTACAACTCAATGATATTTTCAACTTACGATGGGTTTATCAGGACATAACCCCATTGTTAAGTCAAGGAGCATCTGTATACATAGGTGTCCTCCTGGTCCTGTTTCTCTGAAAACCCTAACTAATACAGCCGGCATTCTCTTTCCATACTCCAGGGAATACTGGGAGGCCTGGGATGTCTGATGAGAAAACCACACAGAAGCCCTTGACCTCACTAATAAATCAAGAAAACAAATTAATGAACATCTCCCCAGGAAGCTGTACATGATGACCCACTGGATCAAATCACTTACGGCAGTGCGAGGCTCAGAGCATGGAGACAGAACACATGGCTTTATTTATGACTGAATGAAGAACCCCAGCCACAGAAGGAGGCTCCAGTCACCCGAGAGGGGTGCACGAGCCCTTGCTCCCAGGAGAGCAGAGAGGACTTCACGCTGGCGAGAGCGCAGGCAGCACTTTTCCAGCACACTGGCCGAAGCCAATGCGGTAGCCATCCCCCTGGCAGTGCCCTGGAACAGAGGAGGACAGGGGTCAGCCACGAAGCCGCTGTGCCACGCAGCAGGTCGATACGCTGCTGGGCCCAGGAAGGCAAACATGTATCTTAAACACATATCTTAAACAGATACAAACACGTATCTTAAACAGAAGAATCACCCGCCCCAGAAGATGGGCAGAGCTGTAGCAGGAGCACAGGAGCTGGAACTCTGAGCCCACCCACAGTCAGGGATCCTCAGAGCCACTGCAAGGCCCGACAGCTTTCCTGATGATGGTCAACTCTCCCCACGTGGGTTTGGGTTCAGATCCTGTCTGCCAATTAGCCTGAAGCCAGACCACCTGAGCTCAAAATCTGGCTCCTCTACCTACTGGCTCCATGACTGTGAGTCCCTCCAGACCTCAGTTTTCTCATCTGTGAAATGGATCTAATAGTAGCACCCAGTGCATAGGACTGTTGCAAGGATGACAGGAGTTCATACGCCAGAACTCCAAGAACAGTGCCTGGCCCACAGTAAGTGCCCTCATAGGCACCAGCTATTGCTGACGACGAGCTGGCTGACTGTGGGCATCTGTTTTACTTCAGAACTCGGCCCCTCACCTGTAAACAGGAATAACAGTGCTTCTCTCTCAGGGTTGTGAGGATGAGAGGAACTATTGAACTGAAGCCCCCAGCATGACATCTCAGACAGAGGAAATGTTCAGCAAATGCTAGTTTCATTCATTCTACTACACTTCAACAAAGGGGACGGAAAAGCAGAGAAGAGGATCCACTTAATGGGAGCAGCAGGTGCAGACAAGACACAGAGGAGAAGTGCCTACAAGGCTCTGAGAGAGCAGCATGGAGGACGAGGGAGCAGGAGGGAGGACGTCGGAGCTGGGCCTTGATGGGTGGGCAGGAGCTCACTAAGGAGGACACAATGAAAAGGGCATTCCAGGCACAGGGAGCAGCACTGCAAAGGCACAGAGACCTGGGCATGAGAGGCATGTGTGTCATGTGTTCCATGAGGCTGTCATGCAGGGTATCCTGAGAAGCCAGATGACAAAGGGCTCTGAGAAGCCATGTTAAGGGGTATGAGCCTCACCCTGAGGGAAAGGAGACAGACTTATCAGAGTCAAGTCAATACAGATTGAAATGCTTCTCAAGGGCCTGAGCCATGTGGAAGCCAGAGAAGGTGAGACCAGGGCAGCACTAAGATAATGGTGATCTGGCTACAATGGAGGCAAAGGCTATGCCGGGGTGCTCTTGACCTCAAGTTACACAAAACACCACTAGTCCCCCTCACCTGCTGGAGACGAGCCCCAAACTGGGAGCTGTGCCTCCTACCACCCCAACGTAGAGTGGAAAAGGAGTTACAAGATCTCCGCAGCCTAAGAAAAAGTCAAAGCACACTGCCGAGAAGACCCACGGCCATCTGGACCCTGAGGCCGGAGGCAGATGTGTGCAGTGGGGTCCACAACATCAACAAGCCTCCCAGCCAGTGCAGGAGGGACTCTCTGGGGTAGTCATCACACCAGAGGACAGCAGCCAGTGGCTCAGCAGCATCTTACCCAGCCTGTCTCCAAGAACCTCTCCCTCACCTGCCCCGTCATCTGGATGGTACTGGCTGCTCAGGCTGCTCTGACCCAAAGCCTTAGCTGGAAATGCAGCAGCTTGGGCACCACAGTGGTGGCATCTCCAGAGCTTTTGGTCCCAGGGCCCATACTGACATGGCCCCTCACCCTCCCTGGCATCAGCACCCTCGTGCCAGCCTCCCTGCTGAGGCACACCCAAGACCTGCACTGACGCATAACACTCAGGGACCTTTGTCGAGAGCAACATTCTACCTGTTCTGTTGCTTGGTTTCATTATCTGTCAGTCACTTTCAGATTTCTGTACCCCTGGAAAAAAAGGGCCTAATAAAACAAAACCAACTCCTGGTAGAAATTCATTTCACATCTACCAAAGTGGCTAACTCAAAACTGCCAGATGATTCTTTCTTAAGAGGGGCTGTCCTGTGCACTGCAGGATGTTTAGTAGCATCCTTGGCCTATACTCACTATATGCCAGCAGCATCCTCCACCCTTTGTGATGACCAAAACTGTGTCCAGACATTGCCAAATGTCCCCTGGCATGCAAAGGTGCCCCTGGTTGAAATCACTGGCCTAGAGGATGAAAGGAGCTGTCCCTCTGCACCTAGCTGAGAAGGAGGGACCCTGAGTCCTTCCAAGCCTACAGCCCTGCTGCTCTCCAGTCCAGGGAGGAGGAGCTAGGGGACAGGTGCCTTCATGGAAGACAGGGACCCAGAGAGGTAGGGCATAGGAAAAGTCTGCACCCAAGTCAGTTCATGGCACTCTGTCCTGACAGAGGGGAGATAGCCTTCCCCTTCTCTGGGGTGGGCTCCATCAGCTATGGAAGCAAAAGGGAAAAGCATACCACCCCCTCTGGGTACCCACCACCTCCCGTCGTCCTGACCTCACTGGCCCTCTCCTGGAAACTGGTCCTCAGCCTGCTCCACACCCCATCCCAGCAATGGGAATGAGAATACATAGCATCAGCCAAGTTTTCCAGCTTCCCAGGATGCCACACCTGCCAGCGCGCTGAGATACAGACCCTTACTTCACAGAAGGAGGAGACCCTGAGGCCCAGAGACACACGGTCAGCCCTTGGGGGAGTTAGCTGCAGAGCTAAGCTTGAAACCAGGGATTTCTCTGCCACCAGAGTTTCAGGGGATCCTAACTGCATTATGCCACTAAACAAAACTAGACGAAATGATCCAGGAAAGGAAATGATCCAGGGCAAGGCTTTGTTTGTGAGAAGGTGAAAGTGGCGGGCTTCACATCCCAAGGCGGCCGGGCTGCACCCCGAGGCTGCCACCTGCTAGCTGTGTGGTTCTGGTCCAGCTACTTAACCTCTCTGGACCTCCAGTGGCTCGTCTATAAATAAGAATGATGGTATTGCGGAAACTGAATGTAATGTAATAATGCCTGTAATGTGCATGGTACCTAGTACACAGTAAATGCACAATAATAAATCGTTGTGGTTGTGTTACAGTTGTCTTCATCATGGTTTTTCTGTCTTTGTTAAACAGCTTTACACTAGACTTCTGGTTCAAGATGGGAACCTGATTCTATACATTAACCCGTTCTCTCTCTTGTATTCCTGTGGAAGTGATCGAAGGAATACTAACATGAGGAAAAAGTCTGTATCAATGCTACAGACAAGAAAGGACACCCTAAAGAAGATGGGACTTGTGCTGGCTTTAGAAGACATGGAGGATGGGGATTGGTAGGGAAGGGGCTGGAGGGCATCCCAGGCAGCAGGAACAGCATGAGCAGATACCTGGAGCTGGCACTGAGCGCTCTGTTCTACAGGAAACCCCACTGCCCAAAACGTTGGCCAAGGTTGGAGTGTAGCAGTCTACCACTGGTCGGGCTGGTGGAGAAAGGAGCAGAGAAAAAACAGGAGAGCCACAGCTGAGCCTTCGGGGGCCCAGACTGAGGAGTGTGGCTGAATTAATGGGACAAGACCTCCTCCCACAGCCACCTGGGCCACTGTCCATGATCCCGGATGAGAGGGGTCCCTGCTGCTACACCCTGGGACTGCTGGCCAGCCTTGCCCAGGAATTCTGCACCAGGCAAGGGAAGCAGTAATGGTGGGGAGAGAGGGGCATAAACAGAGAGACACACAGGCAGACCGCATGGAAGGCGTGCCACTGAGAGACTGCGGGGAAGAAAAGGGAGATTCTGGTTTGGATATTGTTTTCAAATAATTTCAGATACCAAGAAAAAAGCCACAGCCAAGCACAACGATCGCTATACCAAAGACATGAAGGAGAGTGAGAGGTGTGCGGGTCGTGTAACACCGAGCAGTGCAAATGTCTGAGAACACACGTGGTCTTGCAGGTCACAGGCTGAACACCAGATGGGGCAAGAGAGCGAGACTGGGGGACGGAGGAATCCCAGCAAAACCCTCAGAGACCTGTGAGGTTGTCTGCTTGTTTACATCACCTTTTCTCTTAGTAAATACTTTGTGGTTTGGGGGCATTTTCAGAAATGAGAATCCCATTGCAGCATTTAGAGACACAAGTCGACGCCATGGTTAAGAGAATGAGCCCTGGAGCCCAACCACCTGGATTCCAGTCCTGGCTCTGTTCTTTGCCATCTGTGTGATCCTGGATAAGTATGAATCTTCCTGGGCCTCAGTTTCCACATCTGAAACATGGGGATAATAAGAGTTCCTGCCTCGGCACAGAAAGACAAATATCGCATGATCTCACTCATATGTGGAAATTTTTTTAAAAAATAAAAGTGGTCTCATAGAAGTAGAGAGTAGAATAATGGTTACCAGAGACCAGGAGGGGAGGGGGTGTGGGGAGATGAGCTGGGCTAATGGGTACAAAACTGTGCTGCCTACCCTAGGTGAGTCACTGCGCAGTACATGCATGTGTTGAAACAATGCACTGTACCCCGCAAACATGTACAAGTAAATGTTAAAATTTGTTTAAAAATTTAAAAAAAGAGTTCCTGCCTTGTAAGGAATGTAAGATGCATTGCATGCAAAGTTTTTGGAACGGTGTCAGGCCAGCAGTGAGTGCTGCGTGTGTCACCTGATGTCAGTACTTTGGAACATTCTAGCACATCGACAGTGGTTAGAAAGTGATTTGGGGAATGGTCACCCATGATGAGAAAGCAGGGAGGTGATGAGGTAGCCATAAAGGCAACTGAGCAGAGAAGTGGGAGAAAGCTGAGAAAGAGCCAAAGAACCTGCGTGTGGCTTTCAAGCAAGAGGCGGCTCAGCAGGGCCATGGGCCCCAGCCTGGGAGGTGAGGGACGAGCAGCCTGTGACAGTGGTACCTCCCAAAAGGTCACACAGCTGACACAGCGACTCCGAGTATCTATCTCTCCACTTACCGTCCCCTCCCCACAGGTAAACATGGAGCCCAAATTCCAAATATGTTCAGTGGCCCCTTCTATATAAAATTCTTTTTTCTTTCTATTAGTACCTCATTTATGCCTCTCCTACTAGTAAATTATAACTCTTCACTCTTGATTCCAGGAAATCCCACTCATCTGTTCCCATTTCCTTCTCCTCCTGCCAGCATGTGCTTTTTCAGATCCAAGGAATTGCCTTTCCCTAAATCTCTCTGCTGGCCTCCGTGAAGCCTTCTGAAGCAAGGCATTTGTGTAAACAAACAAGTAAATGACTCTCACAGCATCTTGGCCCCTCTCTCCCACCTTCTCTGGCTCAAATGACAAGAATACATGTGAGTCTCATCTAAGTACCAGTCTCCTTTCTTCCAGGCTCTGGATGGCTGCCTGGTCGAGAACACCTTAGTCAGGGGCCCATGTCACACTAACAGAGGGCTAAAGCCATATTATTTCCTCTGCAGCCCATCTCCTTCCTTCCTTTCACTAAACCAAAGCTTCAGAAAACGCTTTCACTCAATCCATAGAACCCTGACCAAAGGCCCAAGGCAGGTCTGGCAAGCACATCACAAACCCTAGAAACAAACCTGGCGGGAATCAGAAGACCTGAACTGCACCCCAGCAGTCCCCGCGGTGTGACTTTCATCAAGTAACCTGCCTTCAATCAGCCTAGGTTTCCTACTCTGCAAAATTGGGGCAATGACACATTCCCAAAGGGCTGTTGTAAGTATAAAACGAAATTATGAAGTGGACATGCCTACGACATGGCTGGTCCCTAGCGGATGGTCAGTAAATATAGTTAAATTAGAACTAGAAAGGGGGCGGCCCGTGGCTCACTCGGGAGAGTGCGGTGCTGATAACACCAAGGCCACGGGTTCGGATCCCATATAGGGATGGCTGGTTAGCTCACTGGTGAGCGTGGTGCTGACAACACCAAGCTAAGGGTTGAGATCCCCTTACCTGTCACCCCTAAAAGAAAGGAAAAAAAAAAGAACTAGAAAGAATATGATTAGGCTGTAGAAACAGTAGGAGCAGAATGGGCATCTGCTGGTTAATTCTGGCTATCACGGGCTGCTGTCTTGCACTCCGCCTGCATCTTCTCTACCAGTCCACTTTGTTTAACTGGCTCCCCAGCAGCCCACTGAGCACCCACCGCGTGGCTGTCTCCAGACTGAATCGGCGCTCCAAGAGCTCTGTACTAGGCTGAATTACAGCCCCTGAAGACAGCAGGTCCTGATCCTGGAGCCTATGAATGTTACTTTATATGGTAAAGTTTTGGAGATGTTATTAAGTTAAGGATCTTAAAATGAAGACATTATCTGGGTGGGCCCTCAATGCCGTCACACGTATGTTAACGAGAGTGGTAGAAGGAGACCAGGCAGACAGCAGAAGGGGAGACAGCGTGACCACGGAGGCAGAGAGCAGACCGATGCTGCCAAAGAATGCCAACAGAAACCGGAGGAGACAAGAACAGGTCCCCCGACACCCTCCAGAGCAGTGCGGCCCTGCAGACCTTCGGATTTTGAACCTCTGCCCTCTAGAACTGTGAGAGAATAAATTTCTGTTGTTTTAAGCCACGAAGTTTGTGTTAATTTGTTACAGCAGCCATAAGAAGCTAACATGAGCTCTTAGTTAAGCACGGAAACCGAGACACACACCATTAACCAAAATTCCATGTTTTACGTGAGTTGCTAGCAGAGAGGATAAAGACAGTAATGCTACCTGAGCAACCAGAGCAGGCAGGGATGGAGGTGGCCAAGTTTAAGTCCAAGGGTTTGCAAGCAATGAGAGAAACGGTTCTCTTACAGCACAGGGTTATGCGTTAGAATGAGGCTAATAAGCAGGGAGGACAGAATCGGAGGAGCAGGATATGAGCTTGATGAAGCAGGCAACAGGGAGCCAGGGGAAGATCTCAAGCAGNACCAAAGGCCCAAGGCAGGTCTGGCAAGCACATCACAAACCCTAGAAACAAACCTGGCGGGGGAATCAGAAGACCTGAACTGCACCCCAGCAGCCCCCGCGGTGTGACTTTCATCAAGTAACCTGCCTTCAATCAGCCTAGGTTTTCTACTCTGCAAAATTGGGGCAATGACACATTCCCAAAGGGCTGTTGTAAGTATAAAATGAAATTATGAAGTGGACATGCCTACGACATGGCTGGTCCCTAGCGGATGGTCAGTAAATATAGTTAAATTAGAACTAGAAAGGGGTCGGCCCGTGGCTCACTCGGGAGAGTGCGGTGCTGATAACGCCAAGGCCACGGGTTCGGATCCCATATAGGGATGGCTGGTTAGCTCACTGGTGAGCGTGGTGCTGACAACACCAAGCTAAGGGTTGAGATCCCCTTACCTGTCACCCCTAAAAGAAAGGAAAAAAAAAAGAACTAGAAAGAATATGATTAGGCTGTAGAAACAGTAGGAGCAGAATGGGCATCTGCTGGTTAATTCTGGCTATCACGGGCTGCTGTCTTGCGCTCCGCCTGCATCTTCTCTACCAGTCCACTTTGTTTAACTGGCTCCCCAGCAGCCCACTGAGCACCCACCGCGTGGCTGTCTCCAGACTGAATCGGCGCTCCAAGAGCTCTGTACTAGGCTGAATTACAGCCCCTGAAGACAGCAGGTCCTGATCCTGGAGCCTATGAATGTTACTTTATATGGTAAAGTTTTGGAGATGTTATTAAGTTAAGGATCTTAAAATGAAGACATTATCTGGGTGGGCCCTCAATGCCGTCACACGTATGTTAACGAGAGTGGTAGAAGGAGACCAGGCAGACAGAAGAAGGGGAGACAGCGTGACCACGGAGGCAGAGAGCAGACCGATGCTGCCAAAGAATGCCAACAGAAACCGGAGGAGACAAGAACAGGTCCCCCGACACCTTCCAGAGCAGTGCGGCCCTGCAGACCTTCAGATTTTGAAGCTCTGCCCTCTAGAACTGTGAGAGAATAAATTTCTGTTGTTTTAAGCCACGAAGTTTGTGTTAATTTGTTACAGCAGCCATAAGAAGCTAACATGAGCTAATTTGTTACAGCAGCCATAAGAAGCTAACATGAGCTCTTAGTTAAGCACGGAAACCGAGACACACACCATTAACCAAAATTCCATGTTTTACGTGAGTTGCTAGCAGAGAGGATAAAGACAGTGATGCTACCTGAGCAACCAGAGCAGGCAGGGATGGAGGTGGCCAAGTTTAAGTCCAAGGGTTTGCAAGCAATGAGAGAAACGGTTCTCTTACAGCACAGGGTTATGCGTTAGAATGAGGCTAATAAGCAGGGAGGACAGAATCAGAGGAGCAGGATATGAGCTTGATGAAGCAGGCAACAGGGAGCCAGGGGAAGATCTCAAGCAGAAGAGGAACAGGGGACAGCAAACAGGAAGGTTCATTTTCCAGCACATGAGCAGGATGGATTGCAGGGGCTGGTGTAAAAGCTCTTCTGACCCTGGGCACAGAAAGATGGTGGGCTGCAGCAGGCCCGCTGCACAGAGGTGTCAGGCACTAAAAGAATGCTCAGCAGGCTGTGCCTGTAACATGGGGCCAGGGTTCCAGCCCACAGAACAGATTGTCAGCAGTACCAAGACAGTGTCAAAGAAGGAGGGGTGACGATAAGACATCCCAAGGGAAACGTGTGGTGGGCAGGCAGAGAGCAGGATGTGGCACGTGAGCATGTGAGTGCAGGGGGTGGACACCCCTCGCCCACGGGACTGCTCTTAGGGCAGAGCAGGCACCACAAATTTATATACTGCCCGTAGAGATCCCATTAAGAAGGTATCAAGATGCCAGGCCTTCTAAAAACAGTCTGGAAAAAAACAGCAGTGACAATGAAGACGACGATAAAGATTGTCACTGTTTGTAAATGCTCACCGACCCGGTGGCTCACTCGGGAGAGTGCGCAGCTGGGAGCGCCGTGGCCGCGGGTTCGGATCCTATATAGGGATGGCCGGTGCACTCACTGGCTGAGCACAGTGCAGACGACACCACACCAAGGGTTGAGATCCCCTTACCGGTCACAAAAAATAAATAAATAAATAAATAAATAAAATAAATAAATGCTCACAAGGTAACACACACTCTGATAGGCATTTCAGACACACCGTCAAAGGTGTTATGAATCGGGGTTCTGAAGACAGGCTGCCTGGAAGGGAAGCCAGATTCACTATTTACTGGTACAAGATCTTGGGTAAACTGTCTAATCCCACTCTCCCTTCATTTTCTCATCTGTAAAATGGTGCCATCCTGACACTGGAACATAAGCCCAGAAGAGCAGACGCTTCGTTTGTTTCGTTCACTACTGGAACTCCAGGATGGGACTCACGGTAGGTGCTCAGTGAATGTCTACTGGAGGAATAAACAGGCTCGTTTAATCCTTACAATTATGCTTTGGGCTAAGTACAGTTCTATTAACTCCATTTTAAAGATGTGGAAAACTGAGTCTCAGAAAGGTTAAATAACTTGATGAAGGACACACAGCTCGTGGGGAATCTGGGAGCCCAACTTGAGTCTTTTTGACTCTAAAGAGAGTGCTGCTAACCATGATGGTGCCTTTCCACTCTTAACGCTATGTGGTAGGCAGAATGGCCCCCCAAAGATTTAAGAGGCACCTTAGCCTCTTAGGAACAGGCTACTTAGAAACAGTCACTAACTCAGTTATGCCTTCCGTGAAGCCAGTCATAGGTCACCGAGTCAATGCACAATAGGTTTTCTGCAAAGTCCAGAACAACAAAGAACCTGCCGTTGTTTTATAACTTTGCTCAGAGAGAAGGGGAGAAGCAGCAGAACTTCTGTGGTCTTT